GTAAGATTAATCCATATTGTGAGGGAACCCTTAACAGCTGCTGCAGGTCAGCATTATATGGGTAAAAAAGATCTTTAGTGCATATAGTGTGTGCACTACAGTCTTAAAAGAGATACAATTTTAAAACAAAATCTTTAAGATTATAAATTGGGAATATAAATATCTGCACAATAAATGTTTACACTTGCCTATCATGGACCTCATGGACACAGTCTGGGCTTATCTCAAATAGGAAAGATGCACCTTGGATAGTTTATGAGACACAATATACAAGATGCATTTAGAGCATCTACATTTTACACAGTTATATTTATTCCTTTCATTTTCAAATCATTATTAAAATTAGTTATTACGCCTATTTAAATGCTTGCTGACTTCAATATACAGCTGTTAAATAAAAAAGCAACAAAGAAAACAGTATTTTAGAAAATTGCTTCACTTTCAGCAACTGCTTCATTTATTGCAGTCAGTTCCCTTCTTCTCTAAGCCCCTGGCTGGTGGCAGATGTTTCATTTGAGATAGGAGACAATTATTGTACCACATCTCACATATGATCGCTATCAGCAGAAATCTCAGACTGCTCCGCAAAACACAATCCAGATAGGGCGTCCCCGTGTCCTTGGTATTAAATGACATTCTGCCCTGGAAAATAGAAGAAATGCATCTGAACTTATGCTTTCTATGCATTTTCTTTAGGTTAAATATTCTGATGTTTATTAGTTACAAAAGCTTATCATTTAATTACTACTATTATTGTCTGACCTAATTACTTGTTTTAGTATAACATAGAAAAAAAAGCAAGAAACAAACCTAGAACGACATGTTTATTTTTCCAGGCTACACTTTCATTATTCTGCTAAGCTGCTCCCCTAAACACAGTCAATTTCAGTCGGGCTCTCAGCCCATTATAATTCACAGAGGCCAAGCATGAAATGAGTTTCTTTTTTGACAGAACACATCTTCACTGACAGCCCAACAAATGAGAAATCATTTACTGTGAGTAGTCAGTTTTCTTTGGGCAGAAACTGCCCATATCTCTGAGGCAGTGTGTGATAAATTCTCTATATGTGTTGCTGTACATTAAGACGTTCTAGAGTGCAAATTATTTAAAAATAGAAATGATTTTATTATTTTTTACCATTTTAATTTGATTAAAGTCACCTGATTTATCTATCCTCTGTATTTCTAAATGTTTTATTTTGATTAATTTTACCAACATGTCATCAAATAAAACCCAACCAGAATCCTTGTTAATCAGCTCAGCTCATTCCTTTTTAATTTCATCATTTCATTGTAAACAGAGCATTTAAACACATTTCCCTTCCTTCCAGTTTCCTCTATTTTTCTCGTTATCTCGACAATTTGATATTTCAGATTATAAACATTAAAACTCTGAATGCAGGTTTTAATGAACTGCCATCATGCGTGTGGTAACCAGCAACCACACAGGGTTGGGTAGACTAGGCCAGTCTAAAAACTTTATATTTTTGGGTAGAGGGCGGTTAATGGATGTCAAAGCAGGTGTTCTTTAGAACATTGTCTAGCTGCTTCCAGGTTCTTTGTGCTTTAGGTCACAATAGTGGCCAGATATCCTGCAACAGGATATTTTTAGTGGAGAAGAGAGTCAGATGACAAACATTTTTAAGAATGTCTTTAGGATTCCTGTTTAAATGACATTGCTAAATACATTTATTTGAAAGGATGTGTCATATATATATATATATATATATATATATATATATATATATATATATATATATATATATATATATGTATATATACATAAAATTAAACCTAAATAAGTTAGTTTTGTAATGTCTTGGAAACACAAAGTGTTTTTAAAGCCAACCTTGTGTTTTAGGGCGACTTCAAAGTAGGTGTTCACAGGGTTTTGATAGGAGTCGCTGGAAGGATTAAATAGTACGGTAATCAAAACCAAAAGGTAAATAGAATTTCTGAATAATTTTGTAGTGTTCAAAAGAGTTACTCTTGCCATTAAAGGCCAGTGAACCAATGATTTATTATCTTAGATGATGCTTATTAGTCCTTATGAGACAAGACATATATAAGCTCTTGTAAGTTTTGATGTAAATTCTGTCACTACTGAAGGACGGGACTTGCAGTTAGTAACAGTAATTTAAAAAGTTGTAAAAAAAAAAAAGAAGAGCATATTATTATTTTCTTTAACAACTTGTCTAATAAATTAATGCCCAAAAATATGTCATGTAACCGTCAGGTGGGGTAAATTTATGCTTGAATATATTATTCTTCCTGACCTCCCATTATACTGATTTTTTCATAATGAAAAAACTATCATTACTTTTGAGTTTGGAGTTTTAAAGAATAGACTAGCTTTAATTAGCTCTATTTATTTATTTACTCATATGTCACTTTGTTTTCTTTCTTGACTTACTGGTTTTCTCGGCCAGACTGTCGCAAACCATTCAAAACATGCAGGAGTAAATTAGAGCTCTTGAATTTATGTTCTGACCTTTTCACTTTGCCACCCTGTCATAAACCTAATTAATAGCTTTATAAAACTCAACATACATAACTACAAACATAATTTATTGCATTTTAAAAATCATTCTTTAATTAGCTTTATCATATAACACAATTCTGCAAACATTTTAGTCTAGGTTGTTTACACAAGTTATGGGAGTCCAAATGTTTTTATTTCAAATAACAGCAATTATCTACTATTTGGTGTAAAATAGTTTAAAATGCTATAGATTGGCTGAAATAACCTGTTTCTCCAAAAGCCACAAATCACCACAGCAAACAGCTCCAGCTGTTACAAAAATAAGGTGAAGAAAATGTTACACAAAGCCATTCTGACTGGTATGGCCGACTAGACTAGCACATCAGCATCAATAGGTCTGCATACATGTGCAAAAATTGACCTTGTATGAATCATATAATGAAACACAAAAAAAAGACTAACATTTTAAATGTATTCTCACTCTAGTTGCTGTTTTATATAAAATGTGTTTAATTAGTGTGCTAATATGGACCAACAATTGGGCATATACATTAAACATCCTCTCCTACACCCATATTGTTTTGGGATTTAGGGGCTTTGCTACCATCTAGTGTTTGAAAATGGTTAATAAACCATTGTCTCCTATAATCTTCAAACACAGATATATAATCCAACCATTTAGTTTTAATCAACACTGATTATTATTACTGTTAGAGCCTAATGTTGAACAGCTGTTATTACTGTTGCAACAACAGCCTGGGGTCACATTCTGAAGTGTATCTTTCTAGATGGAGTTAGTGTCTGTTACCCTGCAGGAACATGTGGATGTAGAAACTGGATCGAATTATGATTATAAACCATTTTAAGGCCCACAGAATAATAGAGATGATAACAGTCCAACAGACAGTCAATGACATGATCAATGAGGAGGATAAGCCACAAAAGGTCAGTTCTAAAGAAGCTGCATGTTGACAAAGGGTCGGATACTTACATAATACAGAAACATTTTGTGGAAGGGAAAATTAAGGCAAAACACGCAAAAGATTGCTTTAGCTTTGGGGGACAGATTTAAGAGATTTACAAGGTGTGGATTGCAGCTGGAGTAGTAAAAAACAAAACAAAAACCTGAATGCTGGAACTTTAACTATAGTCATGTTTACATCTTATTTTTCATAACTGTTTTTATCACTGCCGCTTACCTTTTCAAGGCTGCACTTTAAAAAATGATATTGTTGTTGAAATCCAGAGAGCTGTACTTAACAAAATATCTTTTTGTTTATACTTGTGTATACAAAATGACTAAATAAAATCTAAGTCTCTAAGTCTAAGAGTACGGAAGCCGAGAGCGGTCATACCAAACTTTCTTTTTTTTTGTCCTTTGTTTCCTCGAGATAATTACATAATCATTATCATGGCTTAACAAATAATTTATGTATTTATTTCTCAAGTTAATGAGATTATTAACTTGTATGAGTAACAAATGAGGCTGGCCAACAGCCCTGGATTCCCAGTTCGTCCATGCCTGCAGTGCCAGTGGTTATGCAGTCGCGGTACCATGTGTGTGTAAATATTTTTTTTTTGTTTCCCATTTCTTTTCACTCATTGTCAGGTCGTGGTGGATGATTGGATTGCATGTAATGCAGTAGAAACAAATTTGACTGTTTTTCAATGAAAATCTTTAATCTGGACTCATTTTGGGGGTTAATGCATCTTATACCTACTACAGGCGTAACACCGGGGCTGTTCAGAAAACATCTGGCGATAAGCTAGTGGAGGCATGGGTCTAATTGCTAATGAATCAGAAGTGGAATCATCAAACCATCAACTTCGTCTCGTTACCTAAAAGTTAAACACAGAATTACACATAGGCTGCTATGACTTATAAATCCTCTCCTGCTGTTGTGGTGTTGAATGATGCAATCAGTTTTAACATACACCAATTATCTCGAGATCGCGAGAAAACAGCTTTTTAATGAGAAAACCATCACCTCGTTATCACGAGAAAACGGCTTTCGTTACGTTTAGATAATGAGAAAATTAACTAGTTTTCTCGAGAAAACCACCGTGAAAAAGTATCTGAGGTACACGACCGCTCTCGGCTTCCGTATAAGAGTGTTTCAAGAGGTAACACATTTAGATAAACCAAGGATGAGAGAAATTACTCCACTGTTTAGTGTACCAAAGCAGAGGTTCCCAAACTTTCAGCTTAAGAACCACAAAATGGTAACAAGAGCTCACTCATGACTAAAACACATACCCTAACCACAGCTGTAATATTACAATCGGCATTAAAAGCTAAACTAGCTACTTTTGTTAATTTTTAAGTGATGATTTGATACCTTAAAGTACTTAAACATAATGTTATTTTTTGTCTAATTGTTGTAGTGAATTCGAATATATCTCTGTATTCTAACTTAGAGATGCATCTTTATTTTAAAGCGTTTCATCCAAAAGTTCAAAACGACCAAAGGTAAAAAAAAAGTTCAACTAAATCCAAAAATATGGAAATAAACCAAAACAAAAGAAATCTTATGGGTTATTTATTTTTTGATTTACAAGTTATTTCATGTTTCTCTTTTAAAAAAATGACCAACAACTTTTGGGTGTTAGTTTCCTGGACACAACAAATAAAAGAAACTAGATGTTTTTTCTTCAGATGAGCAATCGAATCATCCTACTCTTTAAGAAAACACATTTGTTGGGGAATTGCTTTTTAACCACGTCTCATCCAAGTCTTTCTCCTGCTTAGCCTCCGTGATACATAGGGGGGATATATATAAATAGGGGAAAATGCATGAATTTTCATGCTTGTCAGATTATCTGGATAGTAGCTGGCAGTCAGACTTTGAGTTTGTGGAACTCAGTGTCTTATATATCTGTGACATTGTCCCTTAAAGACAGACATTTTTTACATGTTAAGACCTTGGTAATCTTGAAAATATATGTAGATGCAAACAAAGACCTCAGTATACATATTAGTAGCTAGTAAGATAATTCCAGAATCAAACAGGTATCTAATATTGTAAATTTCAAAATAATAAGAAAAAAGAAAAAAGCTTGATTGCTCTGTTGCAACTTAAGCATTAATGTGTGTATATTTGTTGCCTAGATATGGATTTGCAATTAAGGAAATGAAAGAAGTATACTACATTTCTGCTACGTGTGTGTGCATCTCAGTCAGAGAATACACATACGCTCAGATAGAACAGCAACAATCTCAGGATCATGGTTTGAGAATGGTGAAGGAAGGCTGAATCAACACAGAAGATGAATAGGTTTTACATAAACAGTGGCAAACGGGAAAGAAGTACTGAAGGATACTGGGAGTTCCCTATAGCTTATGATTCTTGTTAAAGTTCTTTTAATCAAGAGGATCCAGATAATCACATCTGTCTTATCAGATATAGAGGAGGAGAAGCGAAAGGCTCTGCCTTCTCCTGCCTGCCGGTGTTTTAGCTACATGTTGTCCTTAAAATGATGTTCACGGCTCGTTCTCTAAGTTCATCGTTTTGCACTTGCTAATGACCGCCACAGCACTGGCTGCTGCGGCCCGCTGGGGTCGCCTCTTGTAGATCCACACCGGTTCTTGTCCGCCCCCCTTGTGCTGCTCCGCCCTGAGGCTCGTTCTTTGGAAGCTTCTTTGCTACAGAGAGACAGAAATGTTTTTAAATTAAATTGTTAGCAATAAAACTTTGTTACTGTCATGAGTGGTACATTTAAGCTCGCATACAAGTACTGGTTCTCTGGCCTTTTGTTACATAAAGAAAGTTAATGATGTGCTTTTTTTCCCCCTCTGACATGAGAGGACCACCCATAATTCATTTGGGTAAGTATACTGGTGCATAAACATTTGGGCTGGGACTTTAATACGCTAATTTTACTTAATTAGCTACATTTTAACGGATTAAAAAATGTACACATTTACCTGCATTTCATTATATACACTCTAAAATCCCGAGAACCTTTGTACTCCCCGTTTCTCGTACATCTGTAAATCTGACGCAAAAGCAGCATCACAGGAGTTGGTCCACTGGAGATATAAAAGCTTAAAAACCATCATGGCTTGAACCAAATGTGAGTTCTACAGCGAGGTGAACTTACTGAATACCTGAAATCGTTATGGACACCTATGCTACGGCAGAAGTGCGCCCTCGGTCACCATAATAGGTGCCACATATCATACACCGGAAAAACTGAAAATCTAGATAAATCATCTTTTCTTAAAAAAAGTGCATTTGTTCTTGGATTGAGGATGTAAAAGAGACATTTTGCCAATGGACCATGACAACATACACATAAAATAAGAAAGCACAATTGCATTGTCTTATTTCAAGTGCAAATTTTTATTTATCTCTTAAAAGCAATGTTGTATACCTTGTTGCTATATTTTTCTACCATATTTGGTGGAAGGAAACAGGCTTTAACAAATGTTCATGTACTGTTCACACTAGTGATGGAGAAGTTAAGCCTCATGAGGCATTGGATCCTGTAGCCAAATTGCTTCAACTTATCACTCATTTCATGTAGCTTCATGTAAACATGACATCACCTACTGGCGCAGTGCATAACTATAGGTAGCAATATAATCTGGGATGTTTGCAATTGTTTTCCTTTTTTTTATTTAAGCTCCTTTGAAATTGTTCATTATTGATATGTATAATAAAATATTTTGTAAGGTTTTGTGTGTAAATTGTCTAAGGAAAAAACAATCTTTTCAGGTACAACGTTTGCTTTCTGTCATTTTATTGACATGGGCTCAAGCAAACAGTGAAAGTGCTTGTGTAACTTGGGCACTGTTGAGCAAAAGGAAAAGAATAAGTCACTTTTATTTAAAAAAAAAAGTTTTTGGTTTTAATCCGGATGGAAGTTATGTGTCTAACCAATCTTTTAGTTAAAACAGACAATCTAACTTGGTAGTGTTTTTACAAAATCTGTATTGGTAAACGGGCAAACCAATACAAATTGGTCACTTTGAGCAAAATCATGGTTAAATAGAATAGCAACTCTGATAAGCTAAGGCCAGGGCTCCAACCAATGAGTATTTGTTTGATAGGCATCTCCTACAGTTGTCACCTGTAATGTTTGTGGGAGATATAGCTCAGAGGTTGCCAGGTCCTAGTAGCCTGTATTAGAGCTGAGGGGTGTCTTCTTCTTGGTTTTAAATTTCAGAGTCAAGCCAAAAAACAAAACAGAGCAAAACAAGGGATAAGGAATGTCCGTGTGTCTGAAGTCTGTGATGGTAAAGTTGTTTAAGTCTTTGACTGTAATATGGGAGACCCCGAATCAAATCCCGGTTGTGTCAGGAAGGGGCATCCCATGCACTGTAAAACAATCATCAGTGTTTCTCAGTGGACAGATGTAAATGTGCTTATAAGTGACCATGTTTAAGGATAGGTTTTAAAATCTGTTATTTATGGTTTGCACTTTTTAAAAAAAGAATTAGTGTGCTGTAAAAAAATATGTGAGGTAGGGGTAAAACACAGGAAATCATGAACACAAATAGCAGACAGGAGGAAGAAGAATTATGTGAACTTTCATCTGATCCTCTTGAAAATAATTTAGATGACATTTAAACTTCAGTGCTTTTATTGATGTATATGCTCAAAATAAAACATTAATTCCTACATGGAAAAAAAATAGTTTAAATTTACGCCCATCTGATCGAAGCACCTTTTGTTAACTGCTTTCTTCTCGCTAGTCCTAAACAAGGTAAAATTTGTGGAGAACAATGTTGACTGTTCTCCTGTCAGCAGGTTCTCCCACCTGAGCTGCAGATCTCAGCATCTCCTCCAGAG